GAGAATTACTCAGTGACAACAATCAGCTTGTGATCTTAAATCTCTAGAGAAAAGTGGATCATTCAATAAACCTTGTTCATGACATACTTCCTAACAGTTTCTAAGTATGGTTTTCATCAAAATACAAAAAAAAACCTTCAACATTAATGCCAAAGATAGGGGGGTGGAATAAACAAGATAACTTTAGAAGAAAAATACAATTATCAAAAAACAGTGCTGCATCCATGAAACAAGAACTGGATAGTACAACAAAGTAACAGCCAAAGAAAAGAAAAGACAGAAGAAAAGATCTCTGTGGATTAATGTACTGAAACTTTAAAAAAAATACATGATTTAAAAGATCAAGTAGAAAAAAGTCACTTCAAAAAGTATAACAGACAAACAGATGGACAACAGGAAAAGAAATGATTTTAAAACTTTTCCAGACCTATAGGAAGTGAATCTCCACACCGAAAGGATGCACCTAATACCTAGCTAATGAATTTTAAAAGATCTGTAGCAAGGCATGACACTGCCACATTTCAGATCACAGGCAATGAAGACCAGTAAGGAAGCCAGAGCTTCCACAGAGTACAAACAAGTTACATACACCAAAAGAGAATGGCACTATATTTCCATAGCAACACTTGAGGACAGAAAGTAACTGGACACATTCAAAATGCTGGAAGAGAAATTACTTAAAACCTAAAATTCTTAAAGTCTAGTTAAAACAATGGGAGTATATTCTGCCAGAGATATAGCTCAGCAGCACAAGTGCCTACCTGTCAAGGACAAGGTCCTGAGTTCGAGTCCTGGTACAAAACAACAACAATAGGAGTATAACAAATACTTCAGGCATGCAAAACTTCAAAAAACGGACCTGCATGTACTTTCTCATAGTTACTAAAGACTATGCTCCCAACAAAGTAAGTACAAAAGAGGATACCATGGGAATCATAAAGTGAAATAAATAACAACAAAAACACAAGAAAGATAAAGACAAAAGGAAAACAGTTTTCCTTTGCTCAAAATAGGAGTTGGTCCAAATTGTAGCAAAGTAATGAAAGACTCCAGTAATAAGAGCTCTTTAAAAAAAAAAGTGTTTTAA